CTCTTCTTACACATAAAAGTTCTCCTGATATCACATTTTCTCGACCGCAATTTAAAGACTATTACAGCTGACAGAAGTCATTATTCATATGAATAATAAGCATGGATAGAAAATAACAGGAAGGGTGGAGTAAGAGTATATATTAAGAGTGCTCTTGAATTCAGAAACAGCAAAACACGCAATTTGCCTGTATTCAAGAAAGTTTTAAGAAAGTTTTTTTTTAGATTTTAGTGGCAGTTCATTAATGTTAAAGTAAATAATTTTATGGAAGGAAAGAAAAGAACATTTTTTTAAAATTTTTTTAGTCAGATTTCAATTTTACAGAATTCGTATTCAATTTCGCATTTTTGCACAATAAATCTTGGCATTATGATATCGAGTTTGAAAAAAAAAGTTTGATAAGTTATAAAAATAATGATAATATAGCTTCATTGTTTACTTTTTTTGTGTACATAAACTTGAATTCAAATTACTAGATTTATTTATTTGAGTTTTTTAATGATAAATTCAAAATATTAAACATTAAACTAGGGGAAAAAAGATTTTTATATCAAGAATATTATTTTTAAAATCTGATTTCTCAAATTATTCTACTCGGTTATTGCAAATATTCCTATTGTTTATACTTTTGCGTAAAATATACATAAGAAGTATATTAAGTATACGCCTCCTAAACATACATAATATACACTTCCGCTGACCAGCTAGTCTGCCTTTTTAAATAAATTCCAAAGTAATTTCAGATTTAAATTCGTATTTTCACAAAAATTTATATCAATTTAAAATCATACATATTAACTCATGCTACTCCAGTCAGAGTTTCTGCCTTTTAAATGTTAATTTTTTAAACAAAATTAAAAATCTAATTAAATCAATGGTACTTTTATTTGGTAATAAAATAAATTAGAAACTTTGATAGAATCAAACCATGCTCTTACTTGCTATTATTAATTATCTTCGTGAAAGCAATTATAATTTTCTCCTGCATTATGTTTGGTAGTTTTTTTTTTTTGCCAAAATGAAACGAGCTTTAACTTTTATAAATTTCTTCAAGTTAAAAGAATATGCAAATCTGACCAGTAAGTAATACATTTTGAAGAACAAAATTAAGTATTAAAAAAAATAATTAATTTTAATAGTAAGGTTGAAGACTTTGGACATCATTACCAAGTAAATGTGTATTTAGAAAAATAAAAGTTAAAATCATATTTTGGCATTTATATGAAATTTTCAGTTGATAGTTAAAATGGACTTCTGATTGCCAATCAAATTTATTAAACTTTTTAAAGTGCAAAGACAATATTTTTTTGGCTGTTAAAATTTTTTCTTTCCTTAATATTTAAAACCTGTATTTGAGACTTAACTGATGTAACCCTCAAATATGAGTACACGAGCATACAATTTCTGTACGTTTATTTCATCTAGTTGTTGTTGGTGCCCAATTTCTCTCAATTTAAGCTTGGATTAATTTGGTAGTCTTAATGATATTTCCCTTTAAAATATATTAATGAAAAATAGTGTTAAAAAATTAATTGTGTTTTAAAAATATGTCAAAAATAATTTTTTTTAACATATGACAACGAAAGTTTTAAGACAATAGAGTTTAATAAATTTAAACGTCCTGAAATTCAAGTCCCGTTTAACCAAATGAAATATATTTATGTTTCAAAACATTTGCGCCTGTCAAACATAATATTTCTTGAAATTTTGGTAACTTATATTACCTAAATATTTGTTTCCAGCACGCCTATTTTGTCATAAAATACTCAGTACAACAGCATTTAGGCTCCGTATTAAGTGCAGCATTTAAGCCATTAGCTTATCGAGTTTTAACTAGGGATTTAATTTTTTTCGAGAGTTTCGCCCAATCGAGATTGATTCACTGTGGCGTTAAGGCAAAATTAATCTTATTATTGATTATATGAATCAAAATGAATAATTTTTTTAGCTTCAACTCAGTTATAGTTATCTAAAAAAAGTAAATAATAAAAAAATAATTTTTTTTTTCAAATTAAAATTATTGTTACTCGCATATTTCAGAGCAAAATTTTTCATTACATGTAATATTAAAGTAAAATCTATAATAACTCTCATATTTCATAGTTTACCTATGTACGCGGAGAAAAATTATTGTGAGAACTACCACAATATGGTAAACTTTGCAGCGCTTTCACCCTTGGGAGCATCAAAACGCACGGTAATTTTTACCTAAGTGCTTTGATAATATTTTGGTAAAAATAAAAGTGAAATATAATTTTATGATATCTGGTAAAATTTGGTAATTTTAGTAAGATAACTCAAAACATGACATGAAATCCATTTATTTGTAAAAATGTTTTTGAGTTAATTATTTTTTACAAAACGTGTGGTAATGAGAACTGTTATTTTAAAAACCAGAGTTTCCAGTAAACAGTTACCATATGAACGGAAAAATTTCCAAATGAATGGTTCTAATGTACTATATTTTTTTTATTAACCAGAATTATGTTCCTTTTTTAATCAAGAACATCCTTATCACCAAAAACAGTATTTTCAATCGAATTTTTTCAGCTTGCATGTTTTATTAAAAATAATTGTAAAAATGCAGGTTTTTTTGGTTATAAGTGATTTTTAAATACAATAAAAAAACATGCTTTTAATTAAACTATAATGGAGACAATTTATACTCAAACATTGATACTCCTTTTTAAACAACTCAAGCGGAAGGAAGAAAAAAAACCGCTTTTTACTAGAAACAACCTTACAGAAGTGATGAATGGGTACGTTGATTAACATTAGCAGCAGACATTTGCTTCTTAAGATAATTTTAACCCATAGGGTTCATTAAGGCGACCAAAGAAAGCTAATTAGGGCTAATTTTCAAACTGCCTTAAGTAAAAAGAAATTTTTCCGAGAGATAAAAGAAAATAGATTCTGAGAAGAAGTAGGGAAGTTCTAATGTGCTCTCTTCGAATATCCAGTATCAGTTTAAAGCAGTTGCAATTTAAAAGAAGTGCTTTAATTAACTTACATTTCTTGGGACTTTAGAAGTGCTATCCAGGTATTAATAAGTGTTTAATTTAAATACTCTTTACTGTTTATTATGTTTAGTGGACAGAATGTTTTGAAATAAATATATACATATAAGACCATGTTTAATTAATTTACATTAATTAATAATTATCACTCCAAACTTTAAAACAGTTTAGGTATTTGCTTTTAAACATGCACTAGGAAAAAAATACACCCCAAACTGTCAGAATGTGGTAAAATTTACCGAAGCTCCGTGGTAATGATTTTTGTAAAATGAATAATAATATATGGTTTAATCATCTGTAATAAAATTTGGTTAGGTTTGAAACCTTAATCATGATAGCTTAGATTACTGTATGAAATTCATTTGGATGATTAAATTTACTTTTCTGTCCCCTATTTTTACTAAATATGCAGTAATAAAAACCATTATTTGTAAACCGGAACTTCCGGTAAAACTCTACCATATGAACAGAGAAATTGCTAGATTAATGCTTTAGACACCGTTGATTGTAAATAAAACAGGAAATTAAATATGTTATGTATGCTCAAAACCTATTTTTACTAAATATGCAGTAATAAGAACCATAATTTGAAAACCTGAACTTCCAGTAAAACACTACCATATGAACGGAGAAATTGCTAGATGAATGTCGTAAATACCGTTTATTGTAAATAAAACAGGGAAATTAAATAAGTTCTATATGTTCAAAAATGCCAAACTCTAAACTTTAAACGTGGTTTATTACTAACACTGGAAGACTAAAAACGTAAAAAAATTGAGAGAAGTATTGAAATTATGATGGAACTGGAGTTTGTTAAGAAAATCTTTTACTTAAAAAATAACTTTCAATCGAAAGTAAAAGTCTGCCTCTATAGTAACTCAGAAATAGCAACACCGATTTTGACCGGTGTTTTTTTATTCAGTATGCAAGTTTTCGTTGAATACGTTGTAAACACACGCCACTTTCTAGTAGTGTGAGGTTTGTGCGTAATATCGCAAAATACGAAAACATTGTTCAGTGCCATTGCTGCAGATTAAAATTATTTGAAAACTCTTTTGAGCTGCTTGATTGGTACAACGCTTTGAAAAATGCTCTAAATCTACTATGATCTGAAAGTTCCTAACGACATGTAAGAGATAAAAATGAAAATAATTCTCCATTTCTCAAAATTAGTTAGTACTTATTTATTGTCAGGAATCCTGACAGTACGATATTAATTCTCCTGATAATTAGATTTCTGTCCATTTTGAAATGTTGACTAGGTATTTGCTGAGATGGCAAGAAAATTATGTAATTAATAATCTAATCTATTTTTCATTTAACTTAATCTATATTTCATTTCATTCAAAATTTTTTTATGGTTAGTACATTTCTACACTGAGAAAAAAAATGTGGTCAAAACTACCAGGACATAAAAAAATTTACTGCTTTTCTTTCTCTATGAACAAAAATAATCTTAGTAATTTCTACTAAAGCACTTTGTTAACGATTTTAGTAAATTTTAATATAAAATATGGTTTTAAAAAAAGTGATGAAATCTCATAAATTAAGTATAAAATCCTAATTTTATCACGATGCCTTTGAGCATGACATAAAAAAAATTTATTTGGTTAGATTTATTTTTCAGTTTCATAATTTTTCAAAAACAATCGCGGTAATAAAAGCTATCGTTTTGTAAACCAGAATTTGTAGTAAACGGTTACCATATGTACTGAAAAACTACCAAATGAATGGCTTAATTACCGTATATTTTGGTTTCATGAACCAGATTTTTTTTTACTAGAAATTTCATTAACCATAGAGTACGATTGTTTTAAAAGTATTTATTTTTCATTCATGTTTATTAATACCAAATTAAATTGAATTTTTATAAAATTTATTTTGTATTCATTATCTTATAAGTATCAATGTTCCTACTTCAGTTTTTCATGCATGTTTCTTCGTTAAGTTGTAAAAAGTAATTTATTTACTTTGTTTTTACAGGTTTTTCAATTGTTTCTCTGATATATGCTGGTAAGTAATACGTTTGAGTTATTTTGACTTTTGATACGTTTGATACTTATAACTTTTAATTGATCCATGCTTTCAAATTTAGCTGACATAAACAGTCAATATCTCTGACTAAAGTACTCATTCTTATGCAATAAAACTACATTTAAGTGTCTACTTTATGAAGGGTAATTTCGGGTCTAACTGCTTTAGCTCGTATCATGATTCTGATTTTCATAAGGCATGGAAATAGAAAGATTGCTAACAATAGAAAAATTTAATTTTATGTAGGATTGTTTATATAGCTAATATCATTGCTTTTCTGTTCCATAAATTTAGTTCCCGTAAAAATTAATGAGAAAGAGTTGAATATTAGCAATAACTTTAAGAAAAATGTGTTGATTGATTACTTTAAACCTAGATATAATGTTTTGTAATTATTAATGTCAAAATGTATGTTTTTTTCACCGATATTTTAAAATAATGCTTAAAATTATGATTTTATGTACTCAACTCCTGTGGTCATATAAATTCATACATTTCTGTAATCCACGATTTTTAATTCTAAAATATTAGTAAATTTTGTACTTATTATTAAGTAATATATTAATAATTAAATTACGCTTCCAGTAATTTTAGGGTAAATAGCAAATATTTATGCATGCAGGATAGAAAGAGAATGCTTCATAGCATTATGATTTAGTTCTTTTATTAAAAGTTTTAATGTATTCTAATGAAACTTTCTATTTTTTAAATAAATTTAAGAAGACATAATGTATAATTTGTAAACGTAGAAACGCATTTTGATTCATTTTAATTATTTTTAGAATAAAAATTAAAAAGATTTGTTTTTCTTGAACAATTTTTTTGCATTAAAATATTTTTTTAATAAGTGAGAATTTTATCGAAGCTAATTTAATATTCCTAGCATCATTAAATAAGCTTCATAATTATTAAAAAAATATATGAACAGATGAATAAGTCTGCTCTTAAGAATCGTAATGAAATTCTGTGTTTCTAAATATAATAAATAAATGTATTATTTTGAAATTCGAGCTTTGAATAACTAATTAATCTATGTCTGAGATTTATATTAGCTAAGTCTCAAATGTGAGCATTCAGGGTTATCATTTATGCAAAATTAGTGCCCCTAGTTAGTGTTAACGCCTCATTTATAATATTCAAATTTTTTATTAATTTTGTAGTTTTTCTTACTTTTTCATTCTAATGAAAACAGTAATTTGAGGAGTGAAAGTTTGTATTAAAAAAGATGCTAAAAAATATAAACTATTATTTTTAATATTTGACAACAAAAAGTCTTACTATTAGAGTTTAATAAATTTAAACGTCTTGAAATTAAATTGCCATTTTGACGAATAAAAATAAGCACATTTGTGTTTAATATTACATGTTTACATTTGCACCAGTTTCTAGTTTTTCAAACATTCAAGCGCATTTAAAATTCATGTAAAAACGAGTGTTTTTTTTTCTATATTGGGAGCGAAAAACTATTTTCAGGAATTAAAAATATCATAAAATTAACTATTAGTATTCTGTAATTAATTATTAGCATTCTTATTCTGCAATGAAAAATTACAGTTATTAGTATTCTGTAATGAAAAAAGACTTGTCAATCGAAAAATGTGGTTGAACTACATGTCACCGTAAAGTGATGATTGTTTATAAACCAAGCTGTAATTATTTTCAAACTGTAGAACGAAATAAACAAGATTTTAATAGGCGCTTTTGTTTCACGAGATATAAGAGAACAACTGTATAAGAAATCTTTCGTTTTGATAAAATGTGAGAAATCATTGTTTTTCTCAGAAATGAATTCATAGTTTTACTAATCCATGTCTCAGCGAATCTTTATTTATACGAATGTATTTGAAATTTTTTTAAATTATAAATATGATCGTTGAAGTATGCAAAAAGTTTTGGCTTACTCAGTTCGATTGTTTTAAACACCATGCGCAAATTTAAGAATAATTTATTAAAGTGTATTAAAAATTAACAACAAACTTGTGAGTCATTTATCTAAGTTTAAATTTTTTTTCAATGATGATCTAACTAAATATTTTAAAAATAATTTGATAGTTGAAAAATCGGTAGATGAACAGATAATTGAGTATAATATGAAATAATTTGGTAACTTTGTTTTGTTATGTGTCGTTAAGAAAATCAAAGGATATTATAGTATAAATAAGAAAACTAGTTTAAATATATTGAATTTCTGTATTTAAATATGAAGTTGAAGACTAAATAAATTCATTTTTTAATTTTGATCCGACTTGAAGCTCTTTTTCTGTGATTGCTTGGCTGTGCCCATGTCCCCACAATACAACACCCACCATCAAAAACAAAAAAAAAAAACAAAAAAAGATAGGAGTTAGCCAGAAATAAGTTTAGTGGTTTTCAAGTTCATTAGCACATAAATAGATCTGAAAATAGAAAAACCACATCATATAATTAAAAAATTTGCTAATAAAAAGTGATTTCTTACGCTTTAGAGTTTAACGTCCCTACTGTTATAAAATACATATTTAAAAAGAGATTTAATTCTTCGAAAGTAGTAAGAATTATTGTAGAAAGACGATAACACAAAGCTGCCGCAATTTTAAAACAAACCACTTATAGCCGATATATCTGCAGTATCGGTGCTACCCTCAAATATACAAAAACGTATTTAAATATTATCATTTTTACTAACGAATGTTAATATTCAATTATTCTAATCAAAGATTCCTTGCAACACGTGTTTTAGTTTATTTCATATATTCGGCATTAAACAGCTTATCCAATTCTGAGTTTATGACTATTAATATTCGGCATCGTATCCTTGTAGTTTTGAATCCAACCCAGAAGACCAGGTAACTCCAAGATGAAGGTAGCTCCTTCGAATTTTTTGCTTGAACAGATCAGCATATCCGTTACATGGAGAAGAAAACCCAGAAAAACTCCCTCAGTTTTTTTCCGTCACCAAGAGGATTTTAACCCATGACCGTCTACCTCTTCCGATTTTTTGCAACAGCACTGTGGTCTATACGAGCTTGAAACGGAATTCGTATAAATAAGTCACTGTGATTCGGACCTGGATCGTCTGATTGGGAGACGAATGCTCTACCAAAGGAGCAACCAAGGCTCCATACAATTCATGCTTTTACAGAACTGTTAAAATTTTAGTTAAGTCTTCATAATGCTTTTTCTAGTGTAGGGGATGTATTTGGCTGTATAGAATTTCTCCTCCGGTAGAAAGAATGACAAATTGAAAAAAAAAATAATTGTTGAATAAACTTCTATATAAACACAGTAAAATGTATGGCAAAAATGTCGACAGATAATAGCACTTATAAAATACAATATTTACCCAAATTAAATTTCTAAAACCAAGGTGAACATCAGTTATACTTTAAATCATAAATTTATTTTATTTTAAAATGCATTTCCCTATCAATTGAATTAATCAATAAAATTCTTAAATCCCATTGCATAAAACCATTTATTCGGTAAAATTTACTTTACAGTTTTGTATAGTTTACTATGTATATGGTAATAAGAACTATAATTTTGAAAACCAGAAATTCCGGTATGTTGCCATATGAATGAAAAAATTATCAAACCAATGGTTTAAATACCGTGTATTTTCGTTTTATTAACCAGAATTATGTTGTTGTTTTTTTATATCAGAAATGTCATTATACCATACAGAACAGTAAATCTGACGGAATTTTCTTCTCCATGTTTAAAATGTCATAAGTAATATAATCTCGAATTCATTGAATTGGATTTTTATAGTGAGAAAATACTTTACACAAGGAGAAAAAAAAATTCTGGTAAAATTCCTGTAATGTATATGATATTTCTGGCAAAAAAATGAGATTCTGATTGATTAAACCAAAATTAACTATATTTAAACTTTATGATAATCTTCCTGTTCCTATGGTAATGGATCACCATGAATTCGGATTTTCAAAATTATATTTCATATACCACAACTTTAACAACCAATACAAAACTGAAAGCTAAATTTCACTGAATGAATAGTTTTCCATATCCACATAAAGTCAAAACCAAGGTATATTTTACTATATTCTGGTAGTTTTGGCCATAATTTCAAAGATTCAAACAATGTCGATACATATAATTACATCCAACATTACTCTTAAAGTTTTTATTAAAGTAAAACGAAAGGTAAGAGTAAAATAAAAGGTAGATTTTCTGCATGAAATCCAAAATAAAGAAACAATTACTCTGAATTAGTTTGCTGCTTAATTACACGCCCCATGCAGCTTCCGTAATTAAAACGAGATACTCCAGAAAAGGATGTTTTCTAAAAATAATATTACTTCTACCCTGAAACGATCAATATTTTGGCTGCTTTTAATTTATCATTACGATGAAAAATACTTTTTTTTACTTCTTATTTATATTCTTCTAATATTTTCTCAGTCATTTTCACCATACTGGTTTTCTTTTCCATCAATATTTATTAAGATGTTAATGCTATCTAGAATAAAGTGTTAAAATGTATTTTTTTCCTTTTTTTGTTATAGGGAATTTCTTTCCTTTTAGAAAGAATTTTTTTCTTGCTGTTTCCGTAATGATTAGAAACAAGAAATTTCAAAATACTTTTTTAATGAAATTGGTAAAAAAGGAAGTCAGATTTTTCTCTTAATGTTACACTAGTTTATTTGTTCATATTTTATTTTGTTTTTTTTTCTTTTGAAATGTTATTAACTTTATTTTAAATTTCTCGAATTTTTTGTACGCTATTTCAAAAAATTTTAAGCCTTAGGGCAGGAGAGAGTGCTAATCATTTTGAAACAATTTGACTTTTGTTTTGTTAAAATTTTTGAATAAGATGATTACGTGTCACAATAAAAATGAGGTATATAAGAGAAATATATCGTAATTACAATCTTTTTTTTTGAAAAAAAAATTCTTTAATTTCAGAGCCATTTTAATAAAAAAAAACAGAAAACATATATCTTAAATAACATAATTTTTTTTATTTTGCATTAAGGAATGCACTGAACTAATGCTTCCAATGATTATTTATGAATAGAAAGTAATAAAACATTTATAAATCATATGTTTTTTTTAAAATAAAATCGTGCAGTCATTTTTTATGAGTAACCAAAATAATACCCTTTTTATTAGAAACATCATTTCACTTAAGTGAAACCAACTAAACAAATTTGTTTTATGTCTAATAGGTAAATATATGCTTCCTAAGTGTGGTAATTTAAATAAAACGATGTGATACATACTTGCACAGTTGATAAAGTTTTAACTTTTAAGAGCGCTAAATAAAAGAAAATACTTACCTGTGAAACTATTTATTTAAAAATAGAACATGTAAATTTATGTTACTAATTCCAATAAGCTTTTTAAATTATTCTATCATTTATTTAATTTTTTAAAAGCATGTTTATTTATACCACACCATCGCAATGGGAAGAAAGAGATAACAGTTAATATCAATTCAACCTCTTCCTTCGGTTTTAAATCTGTTACATGCGAAGTTATTGCATAATAATACTAATAATAATTGATGATTAAGTTTTAGTAAATAATAAGCATATTACCAGAATAAAAACTTCATTAGTTTCAAAAATGTATAAATTGAAAATAACAATTGTCATGTTTGAAGCGTTCAGAAAAGTGGCGCCCAATATCAACACTTGCAGGCGTGAATTAAAAGAAGAAAAAAAGACACTTTTGAAGCATGCTAACTGTTATTTCCAATTAGTATATTTTTGAAACGAATGAAGGTTTTAATCTAGTAATATCTTATTTCTTCAGTATCTTGGTAATATTTATTTAAATAGTATACGTACTTTTCAAAACAATCATACGCAAAGAAATGAACGGATGTCATTACATTATAAATGTTTACGGATTATATAAAAATGAGATTGTATTGAGAAAATATATTTTGAAGTATTAAAGAAACTATTTTGCAGGGTCTTCAACCAATTCAAAAATTAAACATTAAAAAAAAATATTTAAATATTTCAGAAATATCATATCGCCTACTAAATACAATAAATCCTGTTTTACTACCTTAATATATTATAAAGCTTATTCAGAAAAATTTTGCATTATAATTAAAAATACACCTTATATAATTAATAAGCCAAGTAATAAAAACTTTGCAATTACAAATCTCATACAATAATAAAACACTTCATAAATAGTTTTTTAACCAAACTGAAAGTAAAAGAAAGAATAAAATAATCTTCAAAATTATTTTTCCTCTAGACAACAACCTTTCTTAGTTGGTTAATGAAAGACTCCGAGTTTGCAAGATAAAAGCAACACATTTTATCTGAATAGTTATCATTTGAGTCCAGTATAGAAAAGAACTCGTAAAGTCTGTCAAGAACATATGTTATGAAGGAGGTAACGATTTTTAAGAGCAGGCAAGAGTATGTCTTTTCATTTAACAGTTATTTATCTGGAAGGAAGACTTACTAAGGACTAAAAGAAATTTTAAGAATATTTTCACGTACCTTTACTTTACAATACTTGATGGCAAAAAGGCTTTCATCTCTTGTAAGCCTATTGCTGTCATCTGCATGCCATAAGTTATTGACTTATGTCTTTATTTCTTGTTTCTTAACTTCTAATTTCAAATGCTTTCTTATTATTTTTTCTTTTTTTACTTGGAGTTTAAAGACATATTAAAGCCCCGGTATTGCTTATTGGTATTTTTTGTAACGTTTTTAAACTTGCAAGTCGGAAGATATATTCTTGACTCCAATAAGCATTATTTAATAGCACAATATAGAAAGGTCACAGTTATAATTGCATTATGGAGTTAAATTGGGCATCATTGCAATCAAATCCCTCTTACGACAGTACCCCTTGGTTTGTAGCTGGGTAAAATTAAAATCACTAAAATGGGATCGAACCTCGATCCTTCACAATGGCAGCTTAGTGCTTAAGACAGCTGATATTTTCCTTTTTCATTACTGCTGTTCTGTCATTTATGTTAATGTATTTTATATAAAATATTTTTTTTAATATTTTAACAGTTTATTTAATTGGTATTTTTCAATTGTGAATACGTTATTATTCATTTCTATTAATATACCTATAAAATGCCAAAATGTCTCTAACGATGCATTTCTATAAAATGCATCTCTATCACATTGCGTCGTTATATCCTTCGTTAGCTAAGATAGTTGGTTCGTAAAAGAAGAATGAAAGCGTGCGAATAAGGGTGTGTAATGAGTTAAAAGAAAAGTATTAGTGAACGAATCCTTAAATCAACTAGTTAGCGGATAAGTCTATAACTTAAAAAGCGAATCAGTGAAAGGAGAAAGCTGTGAGAAAAATGAAAAATTAAATAAGGGAATCATTGTACAACTAAATAGTTGAATCAAATATTCAGATATTAGTGATTGTGACGATCTGTGAATCGAAGAATGAGTTAAATGTATGGATTATTTAGTAAATAAGTTAAATAATTTATAAACATATATTTATGCTGTTTTATTACCTTAACTACAGATAATTATAACAAAATATTCAAATTTAATTTGAATATTTTGGCACGGAAAACAAAACTATTAACTATTATTATCCTTTAACTACTCATTCACTCGATATGGAATCATTTTTAACATTAGAAATAAGTATATTTTAATTATGTATGCCAACTGAAAACAAACTCTAGGATAAGTGGTAAGATTATATTTATATATAATACAATGGGTTTGAAATTTCTTCTTACATTTTATTGAAATATAAAAGAAAATTTAATATACATTGACAAAAATGGAGTAGAAACAGATAAACTTACTTATTTATAAACCTTTGAGGTATTTAAGTTTCGAACAAGGAAAATTGCTTCCTGCAATAGATGTGTGAAAATCATAAATAAAATTTGATACAGCAATGATATTTTTTTAATTCAGGTATTCTAATTCGTCCATGTATTCCTTCTCTATAAATACTATATAACACAGTTGAACAAATGACTCACGCAGAGATAACGCATTATACATATAATTTGTTCAATCTGTATAGAGCAGGAGAAATGTCCTTCAGTTAGACCTTATATTTATATTCAAGTTATTCTTTTCTTTTTGCTTTTAGTGAAGTATAAGATCGCTAACTGAGTGGTAATATTTATTTTAAAAGCCACTTTGTGCAATTTATCTAGAGTCATCATATTTCAATGCTCGATAATTACATAAATTATTTTATCTTTAAAATTTTCTTTTTTTTTATCACGAATGTGAAAGGTTGTAATGCAACCTGTACTATTCTTCATAATGCAAAACCTCTTCTTCCAACGCTATAGGCAGATACTTAAGATTTTAAAAACTGTCATTGCATTTAGAGATAAACAATTATAGTTTATACATGAATAAACATTATCCAGTTCTTCGTAAAAAAGAAATGAAAAAAATTAATTGTATTTATG